GGGGGGGGGGGGGCGCTGATAGTGGGGATTTCCCACACCATGTGTGTATGGGAAATCTCTGTACCTTCCCCTCCATTTTGCTGTAAACCTAAAACTGCTCCCTTAATAAAAAAAATAAAAATAAAAAAAATCAACATCTAAGATGGAATTAAACCCACTTACTGAAGGCAGACTAAAATCTAGAACACCAAGGGTCAAGGAACTTTACACTTAGCATCCAGAGAGATCAGACAGAAGCAGTACTGTCAACCTGTAAACTACCATACCAGCCAAAGTATGGTTTAAATACAAGGCAGAGCAAAACTCAGGTGAGAAATGCCAAGAGCCCGCAAGTAATGGGAGCCTCCAAGGTGATGGGAAGACACAGAGCCAGGCGTGAGCAGTGGCCAGCCCACACATTACTACCTACGCTGTTTAAATATGGGGCTCACCAATACAAGGGGAATTGGGAAAAACTAATGACACACAGAAAAAAATTCAAGGATAAAAACAAACAGAAGGTAATTTTTGGATTTCCTGTGGGAAAACATAAGACAGTCACCTCTTGGCTCAACAGTGTACAATGTTCACTTAGTCACGATACTGTTACTGTTATTGCTAAGGCCAGAACTTACGGGGTCAAGGGCCCACCCCCACCATCCAAAACAGACAAACTCATTCAGAGGTACAGGCAAATGATGAAAAGGCTTGTCCCTGACAAGCAGTATGGAGGCCTGCTATTTATGCTTGTTTTATTGTTAAAGTATCCCCCTCACAAAAACTGACAAAAAAACCCCACCTAGGCACCAAGGCGTTAACAAGGTTACCTGTACCCTCCCCAACCCCACTAGAGCAGAGGGAACATCTTCAGGTAAACCCCCCCACACCTGGGTGTGGCCTCTATATATATGTCCCTACCTCTACCTTCGGCCTGTGTCTGCCAGCCCCGATTACGAGCACAGCATGGTCCTCTCCTTCCCCAGTCGGTTTTTAAACAGATAAAAGTTATGGCGCCCCATAGAGGGAAGAAGTCACACTTGGTGGCAGAACCAGGATGGGGATGAGCACCAAGACTCAAGATTTAAGATACTATACTATGATACACAGCATTTGGTCTCTCCCCATTACAAGCATATATACCCACCCCTGCACCTGGTTCAGGGACCTTGGTGACTTTCTGGCTTGTCCCCTCAGCACCGTTTACTGCTTTGTCAGAGGTCCAGACCTAACACAATATCTGCCGTAACAGAAAAGTTCAACACTGGCCACAGAGTTGTGCCATCCTTTTAGCACAGGTTCCAACTTGTGGGGACACCCAGCCCAGGTGCTATTTCACCTTTTACTCTACCAGAATCCTGCACACTCAAGTCAAAACCCGTTTTTCAGGTTCATCATATTAATGAACAGAGAAGACACTTATTTTCTCAGTAGAACCCCTCCTCCCCACCTGTGAGTCTGTAACTGACCAATCTAGAAGATGCAAGAGTAACAAGGGTACTTCTCTGAGCACAGACACAACCTTTAGGGTAGCATTCCAGCATTAAAGCCAAGAATAGAACACAACTCCCACATGCAAAGATCTAGAGGCCAACAAGGCCAATGATGGGGCTATGGGGCCTCCCCTCCCTGGGGAGAACA